GGTTTCTGCTCCAGGTTCCTGCCTTGAGTTCCTGCCCTGAACTCCCTCAGTGACAGATTATTACCTAGAAGTGTAAGATTAAATAAGCCCTTTCCTCCCTACTTGGCTTTTGGTCATGGTGTTTTATCACAGCAACATAAAGCATACTAGACCAGGGGGTAACCTGTTGCCTTCTGATTGGATTTAAGATCTGTTACACAAGATGAAACTCGTGCCTGGTATTGTAAACCTAGCCAAGAACTTAATGGTTGCAGAGCTAACATGCCCTAAGGATAACCTACTACTTATTATTTTGCTAAATGGACACTTACCAAGATCCCTTCTGAATACTTTCTTTTTACACACAGATTAGTACAGTTCTCAGTCCTTGCCAGAGAAGCTTCTTATCACAAGAATAAGATGTTGGTTAATACAGATACTCAGAACGGTTCAGGGTGCAGAGAATAAATGACTGCAGACTGAGTGTGAAGTGGTGCCTGATGGTCTCATGCACTTTGTGTGCATGGTATGTGTACCTATTTATGTGTGCACAAGTGTGTAAGAGCTCATGCATATATGTGCATGTGAAAGCCAGAAGTCAATGTCTGGTGTTTTCCTCAATCATTCTCCACTCTGTTTTTGAGACAGTCTCTTACTGAACCTGGAGCTTGCTGATTTGGCTAGACTGGCTAGCCAGAAAGCCCCAAGTGTCAAGGATTCTCTAGTGTCTATCTCCCTGATACTACACCTTGCTTTTTCACATGGGTCTAGAAGATCTAACTTGGGTCCTAACACAGAGTGCAACAAATACTTCACCAGCTAAGCTATTGTTCCAGCCTCCTCATGTGCTTTTTAACCATATCTTCTCTAGTCCCATGTTTGCCCAGTCTCTAATTCAACTGTTTGGTTTCTTATTACATTTTAAGCATTTTTATATATTATAGACACTAGCTTTTATTTTAAATCTAGTCTACAAATGTTTTCTACCTTTATTTAGGTTTTCTTTAAGCTTGATATTATGTACTTAATATGTTAAAGTTTTAAATTTTGATGAAGCCCACTTTGTCTATCTTTTGTGCTTTTGGCACACTATTTAAGAGACCTTTGTCATATCCAAGATCAAGTTTTTCCAACCCAAAATAGTTTCATATTTCTATCTCTTGTATCTTTTGGTGGTTGATTAATTTTCTGTTAGTTTTTGATATTCTATGAAATGGGAGTCTAGCTTTATTCTCTCACAAGTCCTACCTAGCAGTTCAACACCAAGTTTAAAAGACCATTAAATGTTCTTGGCTTCGTCAGAAGCCAACCAACCACAGAGTGATGTTTTAAGTCTCTCAGCCTGATGCACTGGGCCATTTGCAGAACCACACAGTGTCCAGAAAGTTTGGAATCCAGAAGTGAGTCATTCCACTTTATTCTTTTTAGGGTTGTTCTGGCCATTTGAGGTCATTTACAATACCATGTTACTTTTAGATAAGGGGCAAGCAATGGGTAGCATTCCATGTCTTTGGGGCTTCCTTCGTCTTTCTTCATCTATTCTGCTTCTGGTGTCTGACTTTTTCTGTGAAGACATTAACAAACACCTATTTACCACATATAAGAACCTACAATTGACCAAAGTAAAGTAATGATTCCACCCAAGTCTAGATTATTGAACCAGTGAGTTTCCTGGGGCTAATTACAGCAGTATGGACAACAGGTTACTCCAGAAACGTGAATGATTCAAAAGCTACTGCATCACTGGAAAGCCCACTCAAGCACAGGTGATAATTCACAAAATCTGAATCCCTGGAGTTCCTTTTCTCAATTTGCAGGCTGCTAAATAGTTTGGGGCATCTCCTCTACACAGAAGTTGTAATTGCTTGAGGAGAGTCCTTGTGAACATAAGTTTCAGGAACTTCCTAAGACTTGTGAGGTGTTTATTTTCAAGTTTTGTTTACTTGCATAGTTTTAAAGAGCCTCCTCCAAGATGAAATGATTCCATTTTGAGCAAGTTGCTATACAACAACTTCTAAGACTGGGTAATTTTCTTTGATCTTTAAATTTACTGAATCTCTCTTTTGCCTGCCTTGATTTTCATTGGCCATCTCTAGGGACTTTCTAATGCCAGTGGCACATTTCAAATCCAAAATTTTTATTTAGTTACTTCTTCAAATTTCATTTCTTTATTGAAATTCTGTGTTTGTTGAAAGATTGTTCTCTTTATTTCATTCTGTTCTTTGAACATATCCAAGCATTTGGCTTTAAGTTTCTGTCTAGTAAGGCTACTTCTTGTGATTTTTAAAGGGAAGGTTTTATTTATTTTCTTTTTCCTACTAGTAATCCAGCCTTCTTGCTTCTTTTAATGCTTTATAATCTTTTTGTTGAAATTGGACATTTTTAATAAAATGATGGGATAACTCTGGAAATCAAATTTTGTCTCTCATTTTTGTTGTCTTTTGTTAGGAGTTATAGGTATTTCTATTTTTTCTATTTTATTATTTTTGTGGTCCTTGAGATTGAACTCAGAGCCTTTCAAATGCCAAACAAGCAGTCTACCATAAGGGTACAGCCCAACCCTTTCATTTTTTTTTTTTATTTTGAGACAGAGTCTCTGTGAAATATTCAGGTAGTCCTTGAAATCCCTCTTGGTCCCAGGCAAGTCTTGAATTTGCATCCTTCATGCCTCATGCCTCTGAGTAGCTGGTGATACAGCTCTATGCCACCAGGCCCAGCTTGTAATTATTTACTTAGTGACTTTTCTAAACTTTTCTATTTTGCAGAGTTTGTATTGTCCCTATACACTGCTCACTATCAGTCAATTATTTACTGATAGAGGTTTCCTCAGACATCCCCGGTCAAAGGGGGGAAACTAGGAAGAAAAGGAACTCCCATCTGGGGGGTTGGCTGTGTTGGAAGCACTCCTTTAATGCTTGGCCAGGCTGTTTACATCTCTGCCTTGACTTCACGTTTTGCTTAAGTTAAGTCTAAAGATCGGCTGAGATGAAAGCTCTTTGGGAGCATATGACCTGTCCAGAGCATGTATGAAGGTTCTCTAAATTCCTCTGTATATATGAAAGCTTTTCAAAATCCTGGTTTCCCCAAGAACCTCCCTGCCCAGCCTTTCTTCTCAGGCTCAGAATGTCTGTCATTTACCTCAACTGTTAGTGTTGGCCTCTGGCAGCTGCCAGAATCTATTTGGTTTTCATTATAGCTGCTGCTCTGTCGGGATGGGTTCTGGAAGGTTGCACCAGTTCAACGAACTTAGAAGTCAAAAAATAAAAAAGCAGTATCTTGTATTTGTATGTAATTCCCGAGACCACACAGAAGCCATTGGCTATGGTCTTTGGGATAGCACTAAGCTGCGCATGTGCCATAGGACAAGGTGAGGCTGTGTTCACCTTGGGTGGGGGCCATATAGCTACCAACTCTGAGTATTTTCCAGAGTTCCAACAAGATTAATTTGAGTAGTTTTGCCAGGTTTTCAGGGTTTCTTGGAAGGGTTGGACAGAGGCCCCCATTCCACTGTTTTCACTGGCCTCCTTTGTTGGAATTTTAATTCTGATTTCAGGTGACTAACCTTTGGAAAGTTCTTATTAAATTCAATGATTTTTTTAAAAAATTTCTCTGCCTTATTAACTCAACATTTTTAGCCCAATGAAAGTTTTTTCATCTTTCTACCACAGAAAGGAGCATCTGCTGTTCATAAAATCTGTGGCATATCCTCATCCAATTGTTATGGTCTTCATGTGCTCGTATGTCAGTAGCATGCCTTCACTTTAAATTCTAAGGTTTGCCTATATTGATTTTATAAAGTTAAAAAAAACCTACAACTATAATAACATATTTCCACAAATAATTGAATAAGATTTTTCAGAATTATTTCTAAAACTGATTCTGCCTCCCCCCAAAATTCACACATCCCAATGTTCCATTTGCTCATAGAAAAGAAAATAACTCCAACTGAATTAATCTATTAACCTCTGCTACATCGGTGTCTCATTTATGTGTAATACTAGAAGGTAGATACATACACATGACATTGCCATAGTGTGTGAGTGTTTGTGTACATGCGTGTGTGAGCGCACGCGTGCGCCTGCATGCACACACACACACCAGTAGATACATACATGATGTATCTATTAAACTGAAGTACAGCTCTGCCATGACAAGGACATGGTATGCAAAGAAAAGGCAGGTCATGATACTTTTGCTTTTAACTCTAGATTAATTAAAATTACATAAAATTTGAAATCAGCCCCCATTGGCCATTTTCAGTCTCATTCGTTCTGGTAGCTCATGGCCGATTGGTCAGAACATGTCCAGGGCCATGAGAGAGACAAATGGTAAGTCAAAGCCTGTGTGACCAGGAGAAGGGGTCAATGGGAAGGCATCTACCTATACCTTCAGCTGACAGTGAGCTTCTGACCAAGGACAGTCAGGAAGGGGATGAGGCAGGTTGTTGTGTAACAAGGCGACCAACTTCAGATCCTAACCCAAAATGGAACTCCCCATGCATGGAACTCCCTGTGCATCTTTGGTGTCAATATAAAGAGGAGAAAGTCCATTTTTATGGAAAGCAGTTTCCCACCTAATACAGAAAGTTATGCATCAGAGTTGAAGCCTTGAAAGCCAAGTATCAGCTGATGAATGAGTAAAGTCATGGCTGCGGCTCTGTCTCAAAGTTGGAGCATCAGACACGAAAAGCCCAGGCTACAACACAAGAAGAGAGATAATGAGACAGCCACACTTAGCTACCCAGCCTGCGACCCAGAACCATACAGGGGACAGAGTACACTTGGCTGCAGGCTCAAGGCAGCTCCTGTGTGGCTTTTGCATTATATATTCATACTGAACTCTATGCTAAGGAAATAATCTGAAATAAAGAGAGCATTCATGTGCAAAAATACTTGTCATGATGCAAAACTGGAAACAAAAATATATACTGTGATAGCTGAAGTTAAGTAAATGGTTAACTTCACGAGAAGAAAGACCTTAGATAATAAGTAAATGTCGGTTTCTGTCTTCTTCCTCTTCAGGAAGCTGCACTGCACCAGGAACTACATCCACCTGAATCTGTTCCTCTCCTTCATGCTGAGAGCCATCTCAGTGCTGGTCAAGGACAGTGTTCTCTACTCCAGCTCAGGTACACTGCGCTGCCATGACCAGCCGGCCTCCTGGGTAAGGCTTTCCCAAGGGCAAGACCCTAGCATCTACCAACTTCTTTCCTATCAAAGAGACAGCAGTGGCATAGCCCCTCTTAAGCCTCAGCAATGGAGAAAGGGATGACTTCAGACCTGTGTCCGCAGCCATGACCAGCAGGGTCCAGAAGAAGGCTGGGTGGTGTCTAGCTACTGTTGGGGCTGGGAAATTAAAAGTCACCAGTCCCTGGTGACCAACCCTGAGATGAATGCAGCAGCAGCAGCAACTGACAAGTCGTTTTGTTGATGAACATACACTTGTCCAAATCACCCAGATTCCAAGAGATGAAAACTTTTACCCATTTTCTAGATGAAATCACCTTCCATGGTATATAAACCCTGGACAGTGTCAGTGGGAGACACACTCGGTCTACATCTCTGATACAAGAACAGACAATGCTGATGAAAATATCTGCAATACAACAGGGTTTCTCTCACACGCTGGGCCATCTGCCTTGGCTCTGCTTGTGGGGTTAGTGGTGATAACTTGCTACCTACTCAAGTCAATTGGGCAAGTATTTGAGAGCTTCCTACATGCAAATCTTCCCAAGTTTTTCTCTGCTAGCATGTAATGCTCCACACTTAGGAATTTAGTGTGTTGGTCCTTATCTATGGTCTCAGTGGCTTAAAGAGCCAAGACACTGAACTGCCTCCCACCACTGCATGTAAGTAGACACACCGGTTAACACCCTTTGGCTCCTGAACAAATGTTAATTAGTTTAGTTTTGACACAGCAAAGTGCCTTGTAGCTGCATAGCATGTCAGCTGTGTCTAGCCATCACCATCTTCCTAGAGGGAAGTGTATTCTCCAGGCTCGTGATACAGAACTGGGCTCTAAAAGGAATCTGTTATAATACCAAATCAAAAACAGGATCCACCACCTGGAAAGGTCCACCCCCAGGCATATCTTGCTGTCTTTGGAGCTTTTGTTCTGAGATGAGAGTCTTGCCAAACACATACCAGTGGTGAACATGGAGATGTTGCAAATCCTCTCACTCCATTTCCCAGAGCTGCTCTGTGAAACTTTCATTAAGGAAATTGGTCCTCAGAGACAATCCAATACCCACCTTCATCTGAAGCACCTATGCTGAACTCTACCTTGATGCTGAGACCCCCCCAAAAAAATCTGAACCGTTCATGTGAAGGGGCAGGGAGAAGGTGGCAGGCACCCCTGAAGTAGAAAGGGTAGAACAGTGCCACCATCCTGCTCTGCCCTCTCCACATGGCCAGCTCCCACAGGGCAATCTCCACCTCCCACAACAATTTTGAGTTTCTTCTAGCGCTAGTCTGTTTCCAGGCACTGTTTGTGGGTGCTTGCTGAAGCAGGATTTATGTGCATCACACATGGTGACACTGGGCTGAGGAAGTCTCGCAGTTTTCCCAAGGTAGTGAGGACCCAACCTGCTACTCGCCCACGGTCGGACACTAGCATACACAGGCCAGAGTTGAAACCTGGGGTGAGAGTGGAAAATGAGGGCAGGTTCCTCCAGTCTGTCTCCTGCGCTATTCTCTGGGGAAGAGCTGTGCCCCAATACCCGATGGCCCTGGGATTCCTACCAAGGGGAGGCAGACAGGAGGGGCAAAGGAGCAAAGAGGGATCCAAAGAAGGAAGGCAGAACCCAGCATGGAGGAGAGAACAGAGGGAAAACGGGGCTGTCTAGAGAATGATAAAGTGCTGAACACATTAACAAAAGAGAGTCAGATTGCAGAATGAGCAATAAGAAACAATTTTCCTTCCAATTCCATTTTTTTTCCATTTTATTCCTGGCTGTATTTCACTAAACCAACATTATTCTCCCAAGCAACCCACCAGGAATGCTCCCCACAATGTGACAAATTGCTTTTTCCAGGCAGCAGAACGAGTCCATGCATGAAGAGGCCTCTTCCTGGCCAGGGGAGGCTGGCAGAGCAGCTCTTCCAAGTGGCTGGAGGCTACACAGGTTCCTCAACTTCTGGGCAGCTTGCATGAGGCCGAGCAGTTCATCACTGGGGATCAGAACAGGTTTCTCTTGGGGTCTGCAGATCCAAAGGAGGCTAAACTCAACCTGAGTCCTGCCTACCTGGATGAGGGGAGTGGATAGGCCACAGCCCTAAACACTACAGCAAGTCCCAGACAGCCACCTGGACAGACAGGCTCTCTCTGACAACCAAGTATCTGGGGCAATGAGAAGATAGCAGACCAATGGTCCAGGCTGGAAGCCTGACTAGAGATCCTCACCCCACATAGCTGACGTCAGAATGAAAGAAGGTTGAGAAGGCAGGAAATGAGAAGAAAACAGTGGATGATATTACCTACATACATGTGCAGAGCGTGTACAAAAACCTGTGCATGAGTAAACACATTTACGAAAATGTGTGCAGATATACACATGTTCAAGACATTGTCCAAACACGTGTGTACATGCATCACAAGCACATCTGTGTGCACATATGCACAAGTACCCCAGACACGTGAATATGCACATGGGTATATAAAAAAAACAGAGGCTCTCAGACAGAGCTTTAGTCTCTTAGGAGCCTGCTGCTGATTTGCCTGCACCTTGTAATTCTTCCTTGCTATCCATGCACTGACCTAGAAGGGCAGCAGCAGACCCCCATGGATTGCCAGTGTTATGAGGTTTAGTGACCAACGTTGTAGAAGGTGAAGTCAGAAGAGGATCCATGTCGCTCAGGACTCTGGTCCTCACAGATCACACTGGTTAGTAAGCAAAGGGAAGGAGATGAGAAACAGTTTTTCTGACACCATTTAGCGAGAACATGGCATCATCATAAGCATACTTCTGTGCCTCCTCCTATATAGATGCCCTCGAGTCAGCTGTGCCCTGCTCTCTGCCATCTAGGTCATGTCATGGCCATCACATGGTGCAACATAACTCATCTGACTGCTTCCCCAGCATGGACGCAGTCTTGATTTTGCATGTTTCTGTTGTATCTCCAGGCATGCTCTTCTACACATCAATGTGTTTGTGTTTCTGTGAGGTGCAACTCACAGATGGAACGGAGCAGTCGGCTCAGAGCAGCTCAGCAGCCTGGGCAGTCATGACAGCACAGACACTTGTTCTTCCTATTCTGGAAGCCAAAGGGCCAGCACAGAAACACTGACAATTTGGCATCTCGTAAGGGCCATAAACAACCCACTTTTCAACCAAATCCTTATCACCAACCAAAACACCTCCTCATACCATCACCTGGGGGCTAGAGTATCTTGCTGTCTCAGTAAAGATTTCTATTGCTATAAAAAGACACCATGATCATGGCAACTCTTACAAAGGAAAAACATTTAATTGAGGTAGTGGTTTACAGTCTCAGAGATTTAGTCCATTAACATCATGGCGGGGAGCATGACAGCTGCAAGTATGGTGGCGTGCAGGCAAGCATGGCTACATCTTGATTAGAAGGCAACAGGAAGTGAACTGTAACACTGGCAGTAGCTTGAGCACAGGAGACCTCAAAGCCCACTCCCACAGTGACACACTTCCTCCAACAAGGCCACATCTCCTAATAGTGCCACTCCTTTTGGGGGCCATTTTCTTTCAAACCACCACATTCCCCTCCCTGGCCCCCATAGGCTTGTAGCCATATCATAATGCAAAAATGCATTCAGTCCAACTTCAAAAGTCCCCATAGTCTATAACTATCTCAAACTTTTTTCAAAGTCCAAATTCCAAACTCTCTTCTGAGATTCATGGCAACCTCTAAATGTAATCCTCTATAAAATTAAAATAAAAAAACAGATCACATACTTCCAACAGATAACAGCACCTGATATAAATTACTGTTCCAAGGGAAGGGAGCATAGTGAGGAAATACTGGACCCATGGTGCAAACTCCAAATTCTGTGTCTCAATATCTGATGTCAAAACAGATGTTCAGATCTCCAACTTCTTTCAGCTTTATTGACTGCAACTCACTTTTTTCTCTTGGACTGGTTCCTCTCCCTGTTAGCAGCTTTCCTTGGCAGGTATCCCATGGCTCTGATATCTCTACTATCCTGGGGTCTCCAAGTTAATCCAGGCTTCAAGTTCACGGTTTCACACAATGGCCTCTCTGGGCTTCCATTTGGGGAAAATTCCATAGCCCCTTCCTGCCATCTTCAACTCCAGAACCACATGGCTGAAGCTGCCAAGTTCTGCTGCTTGCTGAGACTAGAACATGGCCCCCTTGTTCAATTACAGCTCCAGCTTTCTGGTTTCCATGGTTTTCTTCACTGCCTGAGTTTGGCCGTTCTGAAACTTGCTCTGTAGATCATGCTGGCCTCAGACTCAGAGATCTGCCAGCCTCTGCCTTCTGAGTGCTGGGATTAAAGGCGTGCACCACCACACCCAGCTCTAAGATTTTCTTTAAACTTGGCTCAGTGGGATCTTACCCTGTGGTCACCACTCCCTTTATTCCATTTCTTAATCCATTTATCTCCTTGAACACAGGATTTAGCTCTATTACACTTCCTAGTGCCCCTTTTCTCAATCTGTACATTTTGTATTTTTATTTGCTCATCTTACTCCTTTTCATTATAAATCTTCATCAGAGTTAACACTAATAACCACATGACAGAGTCTATATTAGACTATTTTGAGATTTCCTCTGACAACAGAATTAATCCAAAAAGTGAAGACTTTAGCCTTAGGCAAACTTTTCAGACAAGGGCAAGAAGCAGCCACTGTCTTTACCAAAATATCACAAGACCAGTCTCTAGGCCACATACTAACATTCTTCTTCTCTGAAACCTCTTGATTCCCCACAGTTCAAATCATTATCAGCACCACTGTCTTCCATGTTCCTATTAGTATGTCCCATTAAGCAGTACTTAAATCATTACACTGCTTTTTTAACCCAAAGTACCAAAGTCCAAATTCCTCCAAACAAAAACATGGTCAGACCCATTAAAGCAATACCCCTATCTCTGGTACCAACTTCTGTCTTAGTTAGGGTTTCTATTGCTGTAAAGAATAGCAACTCTTAAAAAGAAAAACATTTAATTGAGGTAGCAGTTTACAGTTTTAGAGGTTTAGTCCATTATCATCATGGTCGGGAGCATGGTGACATGCAGGCAGACATGGTACAGGCTACGTCTTCATCAGAAGGCAACAGGAAGTGGACTGAGACACTGGGTGGTATCTTTGAGCATATATGAGACCTCAAACTCCACCCCTACAGTGACACACTTCCTCCAACAAGACCACCCTTACTCCAACAAAGCCAAATAGTGCCACTCCCTTTGAGGGCCATTTTCTTTCAAACCACCACACTTGCAAAGGGCAGATGCATTTTAAATTGTAAGCAAATAAATTGACTGCTTTTTGAAATGCACCAGGAGAACTATGACCTGATGCTTTCTCCTTGGTGTCCAGTGTCCCTTTCAAAGACACTGCCAAGAGCAGCCATCCTTCTGGGATTCTCTCAGCACCCCACCCCCAAACATGATGCTATCTTTCCTCAACAAGTTTGCCTATTATCATTGTTTACTAAAATGAGCCTTTTATGTTTCTGTTGCAAATGTATTTCCAGATTCACCATTTGTCAGTTGCATTTAGTGGTATTTTGTTTCCTAGAAGTTTTCAGTATTTTTGTAAGCTCAAAATGTCTTCATGCCTTTTAGCATTATGTTTATATTTGGATTTCAGGTTTCCTATCTTGATTAAGAGATATTTATTTTCAATTTTGTTCATTTATGTCTATAACACACTTGTAATTTACTCATTTTGTGTTTTGAGGTAAGATAGGCTTTATCAAATGTCAAAAAAGCAAGATACATTTAAACAAGTCATCACTTACAAGACTCATCTCTCAAAGATTTTTAATTTGTTTCACCCACTATGGCAGCTTCATGCCTGGGTGGTTGTGGCATTTGTGCTCAGGATCCCATGATAGACCAGAGACTGCTGAAATCTTCACTGATGAAGATAGACAGGTGTCTGACTGTCCCTAGAAACAGAAGATTTTCTGTACCTTAATTTCATTTGTAGAAAAAGGAGGCAGCAAAGCATGAGACTAGGGCAATGTGGAACAGGCTGGGGCATGGGTAGAATTCAGCATGTTAAGGTCAAGCCCCTCATGGCCATTGAGGACATCTGGAAAGGCTTCCATGTTTCCTGTAAGTTCATCTACCCTGTGTAAAATATATAATCAGCATATTCCAACATTTTCTCTCCCTTCACATAAGCAGGGATTTCATAAACCAGGGATTTCAAGTTTATAAGCAAATGGGAAATTACTGCTTCTATAGGGAAAAGAATATCACTTTCAACTCCATTCTCTTCTATCTATAAAGATGTATAACTATAAATATACACAAGTAGAAGTGCATATATGTGGGTAATCTTGTATTATGAATAGGTATATGCAGGATGGATGTATTTTATGTATAGAATGGGAATATATTCAAAGGCATGTGGGGTGTGTGTGTGTGTGTGTGTGTGATATTGTGCTCACTCATATAGGTGAGCACAAATTTGTATCTGTACATGGGATGTGTGTAGCTACAACACACACACACACACACATATGAAAAAGATTGCAAAAGAGTGGGTATTTAAATTTTGAGAAATTAATTAGAGTTGGAAATAAAGTGTAAAATAGGAGAAATATAGCAAATGAATTATTTTTCCTAAGCGTTTTAAAATGGTCTTCACTGGGACAAGGGGATTACATATTAATTTAAAGGTTGTCAGATTTTTTTTTTAACTTTAGGAACCTAGCTATGACCCACTGTTTTCTCTTCCCAAACTTCCATTATCTATTAAGGAAATGACGGCAGTCTGTCAGCCCTTTCCAATGTTGATCCTTTGTTCAGATGTGGGGGCTGAGGCCAGGGAGCTGCAGGTTCACTGGCCATAGGCTACCCTTTCCCCAGCATCCAGCCACTGACAGCCCCCAGGTATCCTGGCCCTTCCCCCTGTACATACCTCAAGTGTGCCTAGCATTGTTCTGACTAGTTTGTTGTGAACTTGACACAAGCTAGAGTCATCTGCCAAGTGGATTGCCTCCACCAGATTGGCCTGTGAGCATTTTCTTGATTGATGATCGATGCAAACCAGTCCAGCTCACTGGCTGAGCAAACCATGAGGAGCAAGCCAGTAAGCAGCGCTCCTCCTGGCTTCTACTTTGGTTCCTGCCTTGAGTTCCTGCCCTGACTTCTCTTAGTGATGAAGCGCGACTTGAGAGTTATAAGATAAAATAAGCCCTTTCCTCCTTGAACTATTCTTGGTCCTGGTGTTTTATCACAGCGATAGGAACTCTAAGACAAACATCCCACCCATCACTTCATCCAGCAAGTGCCCTCCTCCACTGCATGTCCTGGAGAGGGTGGGCCTCTTGAATGGGCAGTGAAGGAAGAACTGAGGTAAGGGCATGTCTGAGGGGCCAGGAGTAACACAGCATGAAGGAGGACCAAGTAGGAGGAGGTATGTCTGAACCTGGTGTCCAGGAAGGTAGCCAGTGACTGGCTCCCAGGAACTCTCTGCCTGTACTTCTCTCTTCAGAGAAGCAGAGGCTCCCTCCAGATGGTCCCTGGCATTGTATATACGATGGGCTCTGCCCCAATATAACACATTTTTGGCCTCTGCCAGGACAAGAAATTAACAACAACCCTCCAAGTCAGTACTCTGGCTTTGCTTTACAACTCAATCCAAACAGAGAACAGCTCCGCCTACCATAACTATTTTTACCAACTGGCACATTCTCTCACTGTCTTTGGTTCCAGGTCGGCTGCAAGCTCAGCCTGGTATTCTTCCAGTACTGTATCATGGCAAACTTCTACTGGCTTCTGGTGGAGGGTCTCTACCTGCACACCCTCCTGGTGGCCATCCTTCCTCCCAGCAGGTGCTTCCTGGCCTATCTTCTGATTGGATGGGGTAAGGGCTTCATACTCCCCATCTTGATTCCCACCTCATTTGGCCAAAGTATGCAGGCTTCTGCTCAGAACTCCACACCAGCGGGTATACTAAGTGGTCACCTTGGGTGCACTGGGGATTCCATTGATGTGAACTAAGGACCTGGCTTAAATTGCTTTAGCATTCTACCTCCGTTCACACTCCCCCCCAACCCCTGCCCTGCAGCGCACGCCTTGATGACCTTAAATGAAACTGAGCTACTGACAAGTAGCAAAAAAGTTGTTCCTACCCCCTTTTCCCTGTCAGTTCATATCAACAACAAAAAAATCAGGGAGGATCAGATTAATTGCACATCTACCTGCTGGCAGGAGCCCAGCCCTTCCCAGAGCTGGGAGGGATGGAAGCTTGTGTGGCTTGGAGGGGCAAACACACAGTCACTTAGGAGCCTGTGAGCATGGCTCTCTCTTGCCTGGCCTCCCTGTCTTTAGGAGACAGGTTTCATCCCTGTTCAAAGTCTCAACTTTCAGACATATTTATCTTTGTGGCCCAATAAGGTGTAAGTTCACATATTGATGAAGACATTAAGCAAGAGCTTCCATATGGTCCTTTGGTTGCAAATTATTCTTTGGAAGTTCTGGCTCTTGAGTACCAGGTGTGTGGGGAGGCTGCTCCTCATCAATGAGACTGAGCTAATCTGATGGGGTCTCTCCACAGGCATCCCCAGTGTGTGTATAGGCGCATGGACAGCAACTCGCCTCTCTTTAGAAGACACAGGGTGAGTGCTGTATGTGTAGCCATGCCTGTGAAATAAGGTCTTCCAGTGCTGGTTGAATATCTGGGAACTAAAGAAGCTTGTACGATTAGAGGCAAGAAACACTTGCAGCCAGTCAAGACATTTCTAGGCAGCATTTAGCACCCTGTGATTAGCAGACAGATGTGTGGATGGTCACAGGTAAGACTCACTACACGTTCCAGTGTTTGGAAGACGGGCCACACGAGAGGTGAAGATCAAGCCAGGCCTGTGGTTTAGCTAAAATTGGGACAAACCAGGCAGAATGAGTGATATTTTGCATGACTCCTTGGTGTCACCAGAAGAGCAAAGCAGGAATAAGCAGGTTTGCTGGGTGGGGAGGCGGGGAGCAACAATAGAAAACATTGAGATCAGGCTACCTGGCTGCCTGGATGGCCTCTGTGAGCAGCTCCTCCTTCAAGAACTTCTGAGCCTAGTGGTAGTGACACATGCACTCCTAGCCTAAATGTATCCCACGAAAGACCCCAGGGCAGCAACTGTCCGCTGAGGAGCATGTCACTCTGTGAGTGGATGGTCTAAACCAACCTCTTTAGCCTTGACTTCCCACTGACAGTGGAAAGAAACCCCTCAGCTGGGGTAGCTGGCCCAGTTGTCACCCTGGGGTCAGCTGGGGTAGCTGGCCCAGTCACCCTGGAAGGCTGCAAGGCTCCTCATGCTCTGTGGGTTCCTGAGAGGATGAACATGAGTTCTCAGAGCTGGCTCAACCGCCTGTGTCACATTGCCAAACTGGGGTCCAAAGGCCATGGAACTCTGCCCTTGCTGGAACAGTTAGCATCGACTGTGGGCCGTGGATACCAAAGCGGGAAGCCTTACATAATCATGCTGCTGCTGGAGATAAACCTTAAGGAAAATCAGGCCCACTTCAGCCACTCTCAAGGCATATTTTTAACTCTGCCTTTAAAACACAGATGCAAACAACTGGGGAGAATACGTTTTTTTTCAGAATGAAGAAAAGCCTTCATGACATCAGGTGAAGGGAGAGCTCATGCCTTGAATTAAAACCGCAGCTTTGAGACGTAGGCACCCTGGAGCTACATGCCATCCCACACCCACCCCCATTAGCAGACCGTCAGGATGACTCACTGAGGAGAGCTGCTTCACTCGACATGCACAGCAGTTAGATCTAGTTAGAGGTGACTGGGAAATCTGGGTCTGATTGACAGATGGAATGAAAGGTCCAAGAAGGGGGAAGGTTGGTTCTGTGAGCTCCATGTGAGAGGCCAGTCCTCAGTTGAACACTTCTGCACAGAGCCTGGTTTGTAGGTTGATTCAATGTGACACCAGTTTCTTTCTCTCTAACAGTTGTTGGGACACAAACGACCACAGCATCCCCTGGTGGGTCATTCGGATACCAATTCTAATTTCTATTGTAGTAAGTAGCTGCCTATGGAGAAGCTCTGATCTGCTCTTCTTTTATGTATCTGCACTGTGCAGAGTGCAGCCACCATGCGTCACTGTGTGCCAATGGCTACCACCTTCCTACAGAAGGCCCCCATCACCTCCAGGGCAGTTCCCAGGGAAGGGTGGACTCTGAGGAGTGAAGACCAGAATCTAGGCCTGAAGGAGATGATAATAGTCAGTTGCACATCTCCAGCTGCTCAGATAGCCACGACTTTATGCAGTAGTGCCCTCAATGCCCACATGAGGTCTTCTTTGGTGCGGTGGGCAGACCTAGTGCCTGGGGTAGATGGTGGCCAAATCCTGTACATGGGTGGTCAGGGATAAGATTGAAGGCACCCACAGATCAGGTAGCCCTTTGTTGTCTCTGTACAGGTCAACTTTGCCCTCTTCATCAGCATTATAAGGATCTTACTTCAGAAGCTAACCTCCCCAGATGTTGGTGGCAACGATCAGTCACAGTACAAGTGAGTATCTGCTGGCCCAGCGTGAAAAATATACATTGAAGTATGTGGAGAGTAGAGCCCAGTGCTAGAGAGTAGGTCTTCCAGGTTCCTAGATGGCCTAAGGTACCACTGGCACTGACATTGGAGTCTGCCAGCCCAGCACTCAGAGGGGCCAAGAAGCCGTGCTGATAGGATGATGGTGCTAAAAAAAAAAAAAAAAGTGGGGGGGGGGACCTTTTCTCATGTTTGAGAGCATGCTGCAGTCTTGGAATGTGGGAGTTCCTTACATGTGTGTCCTTGCTCTGATACCGCAGCTTGTCATCTCCCTTAACCACACATTATTCTTCATATTGTCTGTCATCCCTACCAGATCCTGGGGCTGGCATCTTGTGCTTGGACCTGCCTCAGTAATTATCTAACAAGCTGTGTGTCGTGTGAAGGGCACAGGGCAGAGGTCAGGAATGTCACCCAGCTAATTTATGATTATCCAAGGAAGCCATAAATTACCTGTAATTCACAAATTAAAAATAGACTCCAACTCAGGTGTGACCTGAACATAATGAGCTCAGTGCTGGTGTATTTGATGCAGCTCAGGAGCCTCGGCTTAGATGAGGCTGTACAGGGTAAGAGCTGCATCTCCCTGGCCAGGTCATCAGCTCCCAGGCACCTGGAAATTACCACCTACATCCAGGTTCCTTCCCATCCACAAAAAAATAAAGCAGCATCCATGTGGGTGCTGAGCCGAAGAGTGGCTGAGCTGAAGGGGGCCTTCCCTAAATTCTGTCTCCTCCCTGTAAAATAGGATGGATATTTGCCTGTTAGGTTTGAGAGACAATTGCATTAATCCTTGAAAGACCTTCAGTGCCTGGCACAGAGAGTCAAGAAGGAATGGGTTGGGCATTTAAGTCTTAGTCGTGCCATGCTGTGCACAAAGTACAAGGAATAAGTTCCTATCTGTGGAAGAAATGATCTACACATAACCATGCCCACATGGTGCTTGGTAAGAGACGCTGGTCCCCGTGCATCCCCCCTGCAGCCTTGAAAAGCAGGGTGGGCATTCTTAGTCGCCCCGCAATTGAATTTGGGCTTTCAGCAAATCTCGTTTAGTGTCTGTGCTGACCTTTTCTCTGGGTTTCTGGGGAGTGTTTATTAAGAAGGTCTTGAGATAGATGCTTTTATTTTGGAAACAGAATTATATGGGGTAATGAAGTCTGTGCTTTTCAGGGTGATGAGAAGGGCAGAGGGTTGTGCTTCACCCCTTGGGTTGTAGCAAAGAAGGACTAAAGACCTGCCTTTCCCGCAGCACATCCCTGGAGACAGATGGGTAGACAGGCCATGTAAATGACCTATCAGCAGCTTCCTTCTAACCTCAGCTAAAGGAATGGTGCTCCGTAGCCTAGTGACCCACCATGCTGATGCTGAAGGACTTGGGCACAGAGCCTTGAGGGTGCACATTTGCAAGGTAGCAGCTGCACTGGTGTCTTGTTGGTAGGGATACCTTCCACTTGTACCCATGGCCATCACAGAAAGGACCAGGCTTTCTGTGCAGGCTATGAAATGGGGAAATCCTGTCCTTGGACACAGGATGTGGAAAAAGGCACACACCTCTAGAACTTGCATACCCTGTGTCTTAGTTAGGTTTACTTTTTTTTAATATTTAATTTATTTATTATGTATACAGTGTTCTGTTTGCATGTATGCCTGCAGACCAGAAGAGGGTGCTAGATCTTATTACAGATGGTTGTGAGCCACCATGTGGTTGCTGGGAATTGAACTCAGGACCTCTGGAAGAGCAACCAGATGCTCTTAACCGCTGAGCCACCCCTCCAGCCCTAGGTTTACTATTGCTAAGATGAAATACCATGACCTAAAAGCAAGTTGGGTAGGAAAGAGTTTATTCTACTTACACTTCCACATCACTGTTCATCACTGAAAGATGTCAGGACAGGAACTCAAACAGGGTAGGACCCTAGAGGCAGGAGCTAATACAATGAGCTAGGCCTTTCCCCATCAATCACTAATTAAGAAAATGCTGTACAGCCGGACCTTATGGAGGCCTCTTCTCAGTTGAGGTTGGATCCTTTCAGCTAACTAGCTGTGTCAAGTTGGTGTAAGATTAGTCAGAATACCCTCTTCAGTGTGGACTTGAAGAGGAGACCTTTAAAAATAAGTTAGGGAAAACTGATTTTTCCCCCTATGTTAGGAAGTGATGAGAGAAGCAAGAGGGACGGGAAGCAGGAGGAGTCTCCTGCCTCCCCTAGCTGAATCGAGATGGGCTGTGTGCTTAGAGATACCCAGCAACCAGAAGAGGGCTCCCACTTGGCTGCATACCCTCCAGGTGGCTTCTCATGAGCACTCACTCCTGAGCAGTTGGAGGCACCTGAGGATGGTAAGCTAAATACCTGGTCCCTAGTATGGGGCTCATAGAACATGATGAGGACAGCAAGCCTCACGTGTCATAGGCCTAGAGCAGGGGTTCTCAAAGTAACTAGGAACTGGGCAGAAATGCAGATTTGGGGGCTGCTGCCCTGCTGTCCCCTGTTCCTGAATTCTGATGAGGCCTGAGCTACAACAAGACCTCCACATGGTTCCAACGCAGAAGTCTGGGAAGCTGTGGCTGAGATAACTCAGCTGCCAGGAAAAACCTGATCCATATTGACTGGTGTCTGTATCAGTAAGGGAGGACCCCTCTATGTGTTGGGGGGATGCCTCATGCAGTGCCCCCTCCCATTGCTAAGAATGGAGTCCAGGGTCCTGGTTCATAGCAGGTTTTGTCACTGAACAATAGCCCAGCCCTCCCAGAATGCACCTGTTCAAGACTAGTGTGGCCCACTTGTTGGCACTGGTGACAAAGGACCGTAAGTCCCCTAAAGCTGGTGAGCCACACAACACGCCCTGTAAGAACCTTCTCTTCGTGAGTAAAATCACATAGCCACATTTGCAAATTCTGCCCAAATGTGCCAAGAGGAGGGTTCACTAAGTACAAGAAAAGTAAGCACCTGCACGTTCCCTGACCGCTTCAGTCCCCCTCCCCCGACAGCTCCCACAGTCCAGAGTGGGAGAAGCGAGCAGCTCAAAGCATCATGTTCTTCTTCTACCAGGAGGCTCGCCAAGTCCACACTGCTGCTAATCCCACTGTTCGGCGTCCACTACATGGTGTTCGCTGCCTTCCCCATTGGCATCTCCTCCACATACCAGATCCTGTTTGAGCTATGTGTTGGGTCCTTCCAGGTAAGTGTGGGAGGCGCTGTGGGCACTGCAAACTGTGGGCAGCTCTGATCCTCTGTCTCTTTGCAGGGCCTGGTGGTAGCAGTGCTATACTGCTTCCTGAACAGTGAGGTAAGTCCTCTGTGAATTGGAACTGAGCACTGACACTGGGGTCAGGAGTGGGCCTCATCGCTCACCGCTGCCCAGCTGTGCCCCGCACAACCAAGGCCAAAGTTGCTGTCCCCAAATCCCCACTTGGGAAGGCTTCTTCCCCTTCCAGCAAAATTTAACCTCTGTCCTCCACCAATGTCTCCTTCATGGTCAGCATCTTACTCTTCCACAACGTTCAACTTGGTCCAAGAAGTTATGGTGTTGGTGGGAAGGTCAGGGCCTCATTGAGAGATGCATCACTTTGTCCTAAGACAAAGTCAGAGCCCGGTTCTCCTTCTGTGACCACTCCCTTCCATTCACCCTTCAGTCTCCAGAATCTACCCACCCTAGGTGTTGCTGACTGTTCCTGTGACCCTCACCTGATGACCAGCCCCTCCTTCTAGTCACTAAGAAAGGCTTTACAGAGCCAACATCCATGTCCCCTTCCAACACTTTCTTCACTCAGAGTCCTTAAAGGGGAAAGATGTTGATGAAGGTCCCAAAGGAGCCATGGGGCTGTGCTGAGGCAAGACGGGCCCCATACTACATCAGACTCCCCAGTATCCCTAAGGCTATACCTTTTCTGTCTACCCCAGCTACTTACAGCCCCATGCTGCATCAGTATATCCTCCTGGTGTCTGGCATTCACACTCAGCAAAGCTGGGCCCATCTCCTACAGCTCTGTGTTCTGCCTGCCCCTCCTCACTCACTCAGCACCTTCCTGAAGATAAAACTTCTCTCCAGGAACCAGTAATGGGGGTGGGCCAGAGCACACATCCCGTGGCTACTAGAGAAGAGTTTAAACCACACCAGCTGTTTGCTGTTTGCTGTCCAGTGGGTGAATCCATGCTGCTTGTCTCCTTAGAGAATACATGAGTTCCTGCGTTCCGAGCTGACCCTCATTAATTCCCTCATCCCCAGGTACAGTGTGAACTGAAAAGAAGGTGGCGAGGCCTGTGCCTGACCCAACCTGGGAGCCGGGACTACCGGCTGCATAGCTGGTCCATGTCCCGGAATGGCTCAGAAAGCGCCCTACAGATACACCGTGGCTCCCGCACCCAGTCCTTCTTGCAGACAGAGACCTCGGTCATTTAGCGGTGTCCCTCAAATGGAACTGACAGTGCTGCCGGGTTTGACACATGTGTTTGCTGGCTTCCTCTGCTGTTCCAGTGCCTGATGCCTTCCTGGGTCAGCCCTGGTCCTCACTCTGATCCTCATGTGTAACTCAATGGAAACACTAAGTATTATTGTCAGACTCCGGCCTTTTAAGCCATCCTCTTCATAACATGGCTCAGCCACATAGGCAGGTCTACTTTCAAAGACAGCAAGAAAGCCAAGTGGCCTTGATCATCAAAACTGGAGCCTGGTACCTCTGAAGAAGACAAGGAGGAAGTTTCTGGTTCCCTGCCTCCTGGCAGGGGAACCGGGTCCAGAACCAGCTGACCATCACCGCCCTGTGGCACCCAGTGCATGCCTGTGGATGTCTATGAAATTCCTCCTCAAGCTATGACCGACCAGGGAAACCAGCTGACAGCAGCCTTCTCGTCCCCATGGCCTTGAGTTCTGTGCTGTGGGATGGGCCTCTGCATCTGGACAGATACACCCTTGCTGCTCCCTGGACCATTTGGTAGTGACCAAAGACAAGTCAGGGACAATGTCCCTGCTTCAGTGGCCAAGCCAGGAGCTCATATCCTCCTGGTCACTTAGCATCTGCTGCTTCCTACAGGTGATGAGCAGCTCTGGATTCCAGGCTGGCCCATCAAGATGGAGGCCCTGGTGACTTGTCCATACAGCCCAGAGATGTTCTCTAGGCAACAGAAAACTGTACTCTTTTTGAAGAAAGTCAGCATCTTAACATGGTTTAAAAAGAGAATTATTGTCTCAAGATATAAGATGGCATCAAGCACTCCTTTCCAATATTTGCCAATAATAATCCTTGCTGCTCCTGTTATTTTCGACTGTGGACAGGGAAGTTACAGCATGGTGAAGGGGCAGCTGGAGAGTGAGAACGCCTGGCCCTGCAGTGCCCAGAGACCCTGAGAAACCGCCCTGGCCCTGTGCAAGGACCTGGTGTTCTGACACAGTCTATGTAACCACACACACCCCACACACACACATATACAAACACATACACACACACACACATACACACAAACACACACACATACACACACAAACACACAAACACACACATACACACACAAACACACATACACACACACATACACACACAAACACACACATACACACACAAACACACATACACACACAAACACACACACATATACACACAAACACACACATATACACACAAACACACACATACACACACAAACACACACATATACACACATAAACACACAAACACACACACATACACACATACACACATACACACACACACATACACACACACACATACACACACATACACACATACACACACTCGAGCATGCCAAGGATAAGAGCTGCAAAGTGTTTTTCCTGTGGTTCCTGTGGCATGTAGATCCTAGGCATCATGAATGTCTATGATCTCAACGATTGTTCCAGGGCCAGAGGTCTCAGGGTCATGAAACCACAGAAGTTAAGAGCCCCACTTCCAGTTCTCTAGAAATAAAACCAGTACATGGGGACTTCAGGACAGCAGAGAAGTGAGTATCTAGAGACTAGCTAAAGCCCAGTGGCCAGACTTCTGGCCTGAATATCTGTCCCACAGGACTGCTCCTGGAGTTTTGATCTCATCAACTCTTTTGTTGGTGGTGGTGGTTGTTGTTGTTGTTGTTGTTTTTCGAGACAGGGTTTCTCTGTGTAGCTTTGGAGCCTTTCCTGGAACTCACTCTGTAGACCAAGCTGGTCTCGAACTCACAGAGATCTGCCTGCCTCTGCCTCCCAAGTGCTGGGATTAAAAGCGTGCGCCACCAGCTCATCAACTCTTATCAAGCCCCCATTTTGACGGCAACTGGATTGGATGGACAGCTCAGATAATCTCGAAGACACCACTAACCTGCTACCTCCCAGGGCTGCAAGGCTAGAGAGCAGGTCATGGGGAGCAAACGGCTTAGGCCAGGTACCCCAAAAAGAGGTGCTGGCGTAGCAGTAGGTGGGTGCTACAAGCCCTGGTACGAGCCTTGCCTTTCTTCACCCAGAGTTATCACTGCTTAGTACAGCAGTTCTGGAGAAACAAAGTTCTTTCATATCTGAAAGTGTCCTATCAACAACCAGGCATGGTCACCCTGGCATGACCCCAAAGAGACACGTAGGACCCATGAACACAAGCAGCCATCATCCGATAAGCAGTCACTGGTCACACATGGAGCATTCCAATGTGCAGGGACACCATCACCTCGGCCCAGCATGTGCTAACACTAGACAGAGCCGGGCCTAGGTCTTCTCCCTGGTGAAGAGATGTGCTGGTCACAAACTCGCCACTGCTGGAACTGATCCGCAGCAGATGTGTACGAACCACATGGTCAGCATGTGATCTTACGTGTTGTATGTGGAGTATCTACAAACTGTGCCACAGAGTGGAACTCAGCTGTATATAGACTGCAATAAACATAATTTCATTCCGTGTGAGTTTGCTATGAACGATGGTGAGGCTCCAGAACCTAACTGTGTGCTGCTACACCTCTTGAGTACCCTGACTCCGGACCATCCTGCCTTACATCCTCATGTAGGAAGGTGGGCCTGAAGTACACAAGGTGTATAAGTGGCAGCCATGAGGATGTGCCCAGCATACCTGGCTATTCCTACCCTGCAGCCCTAATGCCCTCCCTCAGTCCTACAGAGCCTGAGCCTTGTCAACAGAGCAGGCTGAAGTGTGTGTGTGTGTGTGTGTGTGTGTGTGTGTGTGTGTGTGTTAGCTATACACACAGTTATTTATATATGTGCTTAGTGTACCTAAAGAATATGTTGTACATGCAAGTGTGTATGCTCATTTGTAGGTGGGTATTCACGAATGTATATGGGGTTCATGTATGTGTGCATGTGGATGTGCTCAGGTATAAGTCTGTGCACGTGTGTGCTTGTCTGTGGGCACTTGTGTATTCTGACCCTTAGCCCCTAGGCAGATAAAATGTTTCTGCTCCACATTCAGCATGCCGCTGAGTGTGTAGTCACAAGCATTCTACACTGCCATCAAATCCTCAAGAGCATGAACACAGAAGTGATCCAGAGAGCTTCTGGGGAATTTCCTCAGAGAAAGCAGCAGGAAGAGAGAAGAGAGCTCTGCAGGGCCCTCTAGGATCACGGTTGTCCTGTCTGATTAGGGATGCTCGGAATGAGGTGCCCAAAGCAGGGCAGCTCTGTGGATAGGCCCAAGGGAGTCAGCCCGCTGGGACAGCTGGGAACCACAGCTTCTCCATCTGTGAGAAAACATGAGCCTTCCTTTCTCACCGAATACCAGCCGTTTTCAATCAGCTGCTTCAGATTATAGGAACTTCACAAAAGAGATAGGAAACTCCAGCTCGGTGGGCAACTGTTATGCAGAAAATGAAATGCTCTGAGAGGGGCCTCCAACCCCAGGGGTAGCCCCTGTGAACTGGATGCTGGTCCTGGGCCTTTTAGTGCCACACAGGCAATTCCTTTCCTCTCTCCTCCCTGATTTTTCCTCACTGAAAGTAGGTCAAGCTGCATACAGGTTCTTAGCCAGCTTTGTTCAGGCAAGCCAGAGTGGAGGTCTTTCCCTTGCAAACATAGGAAACTTCATTTTTTCTTTTTCAGGGCCAAATCTCACTATGTAGTCAAGGCTGGTTTTCAAGACTCCATTCTCCTGCCTCAGCCTCCAGAGTATCTGAGATCAGAGATGTGTCCTCCACTGCCAGCTCAGAGCTACAGTATTTCAACAACTGTATTTATGTTTCCCTGAGTATTCGCCCACTATGAGCTACAGGTGGAACACAGAATTGAGGGCACTCATCTCTGGGCAAGCTTGGGCCTGGGGTCTGGGGCCTGAGGTCTGGGGGTCTGGAGCCTGAGGTCTGGAGCCTGGGGTCTGGGGCCTGAGGTCTGGAGGCTGGGGCCTGGAGCCTGGAGTCTGGGGCCTGAGGTCTGGGGTCTGGAGCCTGAGGTCTCAGGTATGGGGCCTGGAGCCTGGGGCCTGGAGCCTGGAGTCTGGGGTCTGCAGCCTGAGGTCTGGAGCCTGGGGGTCTGGGGCCTGAGGTCTGGGGCCTGGGGTCTGGGGCCTGGGGCTTGGGGCCTGAGGCCTGGAGTCTGGAACCTGGGGCTTGGGGCCTGAGGCCTGGAGTCTGGAACCTGGGGCTTGGGGCCTGGGGCCTGGGATCTGGGGCTTGGAGCCTGAGGCCTGGGGTCTGGAACCTGAGGTCTGGAGCCTGGGGCCTGGGGCCTGAGTTGGCAGAAGGCTGCCCCTGGCCACACTTTGAGGTGCTAAGAACTTGGTAAAGTCAGCCCTGTTGGTATTTTCATTTCTTCCTAGGGCCGCTTGGACAATGTTCACTAGAATATCCATGTCTCTAATAGAGAGAGACACTGAGTGTTATCTCTACAGATTTCTCCTCTCACTCTGGTTTAGAGTAGAACCTTAGCCTGGATGAGCGGGCAGCCTCCCTCTACTCCAGCTACTTACAAACGACAAATGAACTCTTCTATTATTGGGAAACAGGGACAAGGACAGGAGAGGCAGCTCCGGGGAGGTCACTGCTCTTCACACTGTCATCCTCACTGCCAGCAGTGTGCTACCCCGGGACTCGGACCACACAAAGGATTTGGGACATCTTTTATATAGAAATGTGTTCTTTTTAGATGAAAAGAGGCACACCCTTCCTTTGTGTTCTCTGGAGAATTAACAAGGAAGCCGAGCAAGTGGCCATGTCAGCAGGTGGTCACCTGGCTGCCAAGACAATCTCTCTTGGGGACCCTGCAGGGAGGACACTTGCCCCCCAAGGCTGTTTAGGACCTTTTCAAAGGCTGCTTCTATTGAACAGCGGGGGCTGAAGATAACACGCTGGAGGATAATTACAAAGCAGAGGCCAGACAGCTCTCCATTTAAAAGTCAAGGTTTTCGTAGTCCTCACATGTGGAGTTTTATGTAAAATCTCAAAAAGGCACAGAAATGCAATGCCCCTTCAAAATCCTAGCTATTGTGGTTCAAATAATGTAGTTATAAATAAAATATGTAAACTGTGGATTTTTTAATCATAAAAAATTATTACCCTCCTTTCAGCTTGAAAGACACAGCATGATAAAGCCCCTGTGCTGCGGCTTGTTATGTGCTGATTTTTCTATTGCCGGAGTAGGGCCTTTCTGTGACACCATAGTAAGTATTCTTACATCTACAGGAGCTGAAGGTTCATCCAGGTCCAGTGTGTGAGAGTTGCCACGTGTGGATTCTGAACTCATGTACCTGACTCCCAGTGAAGCCTCCTCATCCTAGAGCCTTCAGCTCATTATCCCCTGGCCCTCACCCCCTGCATCTGCCTCTTCCCTCTCTCCACAGCTCTGCTTTGTCAGGGAGATGCATGCGCTGTGAAAGTGAGAGCCCTGCAGGGAGGGAGCAGCAGAAATGGGCAGGGCTGGAGGGCAGCAGTCCTGGTGACCCTGAGTGGTTAGAGCTGATGGTCCATGTGGGGCTGTGAGGAAGAGGCAATAAGGAGAGTGAGCCGAAAGGTTAAGAGTCATTGCCAGACAAGCAACAGCGAAGCATAGCCCAAGATATGGGCAGTCAAGGGATTAAGGGCCCAAAGGCAAAAGAGAAAGTAGACACAGTCCCAAACAGCAAACAGGACCTCTACAGCGCAGCACCAAGCATGGGGTGGTGGGTGGGTCAGGAGTTCAATCCCAAACAAGCCCTGGCTTCTCAGAGGCTCCATCCAGGTTCAACACGAGACCCTTGTGGCTGCCAACAACCCTGGAGCAAAGCAGCCACACCAGAATGTGGAAGCAGCTAGATTGTGGGGAGCCCACAGTGGGTCAGGCAGGGCTGCACTTTCAGGACTGTATGGCAGCTAGACCAAGTCACTGGAGCCAATGAAGGTCATCAGGGATGACGCAGACTCCACAAGACGCTCAAGTGACAGAGACTCCCTACAGGAGCTCATTCTGATAACTCCTGTACAGAGGCAAAGGTGACTTATGTTCCAGAACAGATGAGAAGCCTTCACCCAGGCATCTTGGAAATGCACCCTACACTTGGTCACCATGAGGACCTGCCTCACTGATCTAGAGCCACCATGTATCCTAGAACGGAGTTGTCGATAACCATTT